AGTTGTTGTAGTATTATTTTGTAGGAGTTTGATACGCACGAGAAGTTACGTATGATGTTTTTCGTACTTGCGTGCATGTTTGGTTTGGTAGCCCGACGGGATCGGGTGAGTTTTGGATAGGCCGACAAAGTGAAATTAGGACTTAGGAAAACTAGCTCGGGTGTGTTGCAGGCTTCGCAATTGCGAAGCCTGGCTCGCAAATGCGAGCTCTCATTTGCGAAGAAAACATCGCAATTGCGAAAAGGGCTGGGCAGGGTGACCTTCGCATTTGCGAGGCTCAATGTCGCAAATGCGACCATAGCAAGTACCGCAATTGCGAACAATTGTTCGCATTTGCGAAGAAAGCAGGACTGGCCTACCTTCGCATTTGCGAAGCCTGGGCCGCATTTTTGAACCTGGCATTGCAAATGCGATATCTGCACCGGTGCAAATTATAACTTAGTCGAAATTTCTTCATTTTTTCAAACTCACTCAAACCCTAAGCTCTCTTGGGCGATTTTCCAAAGAAAAGATCTTCTCCAAATCAATTGTAAGTCGTTTCTAACTCATGTTCTTCAATCTATGACATCTTTTCACATGATTTCAATTCAAAATCAAGAGTTTTCATGGGGAAATTAGGTGTTTTTGGGTAGAACTTAGGATTTTCAAATTTTGGGGATTTGGACCTCGATTTTGGGGTCCGATTTCAAAAGAAATTGTATATTTGAGTTCGTGGGGGAATGAGTGATCGGGTTTTGGTTCGAACCTCGGGTTTTGACCAAGTGGGCCCGGGGTCGATTTTTGACTTTTTGGAGAAATCATTAGAAATCCTATTTTCATGCATTAGAATTGATTCATTTAGCATTTATTAATATCCTTAAGTAAATTGTGGCTAGATACAAACGAATTGGAAGTAGCATCGAGGGGTAAAGCGGTAGTTGAGGCTTGAATTGTGTTCGTGGCATCGAGGTAAGTGTTTGGTCTAACCTTAGCTTGAGGGATTAGGAGTTGTGTCTTATTTGCTAAATGTTAATTGTTGAGTACTACGTATAGGTGTGGTGACGAGTACCTATACGTCGGTGTCAAGCATGCCCGTGAGTCTTATACTATGATTGTTGTGACTCTGTTTCGTATTGTTCATGTTTTATATGATGATATCTATTGTTGAACAAGTCTTGTGGAAGTATTATTGGTAATTGAACATTGTAGTGTGTTGGCCCAAGTTGAGAATTGAGTTGTGAAGTAATTGTGGAAAAGAGTAGAGGTTTATGATATTGTCTCCCTTGCCTGTATGTTATTGCTTTTGATATTATCTCCCTTGCCGGGATGTTATTGTTTTTGATATTATCTCCCTTGCCGGGATGTTATTACTCATGATATTATTTCCCTTGCCGGGATATTGTTGCTATGCTATTGTTCCTTTGCCGGGATTTTATTGTGATGTTACTGATTCCCTTGCCTAAATTGCTTTGTGATTGTTGCTTGGGTGAGGAAGAGTGTAAAGCACGAAGGGTGATGCCGTGCGTGATTTTGAGAGTGTTAATGCACGAAGGGTGATGCCGTGCCGATATTGTGAGGTAAAAGCACGAAGGGTGATGCCGTGCCGCACGATGTACAATGTCGTGCCATGATATGAGTGATAATGCACGAAGGATAATTCCGTGCCATGATTATGTGAGGTAAAAGCACGAAGGGTGATGTCGTGCCGATTATATTAATTCTTATGGTGAGGACGAGAGTAAAAGCACGAAGGGTGATGCCGTGCACTTGTCTTTGATTTCCTTATTCTTGCTTACAGTTGAATTTCCATGTTCCTTTCACTTCTTTGCTGAGATTTTGTTTGTACATGATATTCCCCGCAGCATGTTTTCCCTTCCCATCTTTAAATGCTAGTTTCTGTCAATATTACTTGTTGTATATGATATAACTGCACAGGTTTATTTGGTAGTCTTGTCCTAGCCTCGTCACTACTTCGCCAAGGTTAGGCTAGGCACTTACCGGCACATGAGGCCGGTTGTGCTGATACTACACTCTGCACTTTGTGCAGATCCCGGTGCTGTAGCTTTTGGACCGCAGTGAGATTGTTGCCTTCAGTCCAGTGGCGGAGACCCGAGGTAGTCCTGCAGGCATGCGCAGGCCTTGGCGTCTTCTTCTATCTTTCCATTCTGTTTCTTTTATGTATTTCAGAGACAACTTTGTATTTATCTTTCAGATCACTGTTTGTAGTATTTGTAGATAGTTCATGACATTGTGACACCAAATTCTGGGTAGAGATGTATGTTGGATTCTGCACTAGTATATGGCTAAACTATTAGTTTTCGTCTTCCGCATTTCTGTTATTATAATTATTTCGCTGTTGATCACCTGTTATATTGAACTGTTAAAAAGGCTAAGCAAAAAGGTTAATGAATCTATAATACTCGACTTGCCTAGCTTTCATGAATAGGCGCCATCACGACTCCCGAAAGTGAAAAATCCGGATCATGACAATTAATGCTCTAGACTATATTTTTGTACTTCATACTCATGTGAAATCTCAAAAGGTGATTCCTTTGAACCCTGATAGTTGCAGAGCCGGAAATTCTATTAAGCGGATAGTAATTAAAAGAGAAGGTGGAATGAAGGTTATGTGGACACCATTACTTGTTACCTGATACAATGACTATTATTCCTTTAGGAGTTTAGTATCTGCGACTTATACAGTAATATAGTTATGCCATAAATGAGTTAAGTGTAATAACGAATAACTGTTTAATAAATCAAATCTGACATGCGAAATAGAGTAAATAATACACTATAACATGTTAAATTATGCTAATAAATTAAAAATTCTTTAATATTGATAGTTTATATAACTCAAACCTTTTTCAAAAAGTTGTAAAAAGGGATTTTTTAACACATATTTTGTCGGGCAAAACAAATTTTTGTCGCTAGCCAAATATATTGTATATATTAATTATGTATAATATACATACATACATACATACATATTCGATGCTTTATTATTTTGCGGGCGACTTAACTGTGTAGACTTCCCGTTAAAAAGTGATATTATAGTTAACAGGCCCACAAATGCCTTAAAAAAGGGGTTTTTTTTTAATTTTTAGCCTGGCGGCCCAAATAATTATAGGTGGTAGCCCAAATATACAAAACATATACACTGATTATATATATTATACGGTTCAAGTCGTAAAACTGGCTACTAATGATTGCATTGGACTATCTACATCACACTAGGGGTGGCAAATGGGCTATTTGTTGTATTTGGGCTGGTCAAGATGGGCTGCCTCATTAAATGGGTCATTGCCCAACCCTGCGCACAGTTTTTTTCCTCTGCTCAAAGTTCACTTGGGTTAAGATGTTACGGCCCGGATTTCCCACCTTCGGGAATCGTGATGGCACTTACTCGTTAAAGCTAGGCAAGCCGACAGTTACAGTTTTACCATAATTACTATTAATCAAACAGAAACAAATAATAGCTAAAACCAAACAAATATGAAATGCGGAAGTGATATAACAGTTCAACAACTCTAGTACATAACTACCCCAGTGATCTGGTTTCACAATTCACGAACATCTAAGAATTTCTACAAATATAAGTTTGAAAGAAGTACATATGTTCTCAAAATAGAAAGAGACAGGAAAGACAAAAATGGCGGAAAGGGGGACTCCAGGCTCTGCGGACGCTGGCAGATCTACCTTGGGTCTCCCTGGACTGAAGGCAGCAACTTCAAATCTACTCACAAGGTCCTGCACCGAAATCTGCACAAAAAGTTTATAGTGCAGTATTAGTACAACCGACCCCATGTGCTAGTAAGTGTCGAGCCTAACCTCGGCGAAGTAGTGACGAGGCTAGGACACGACAACCATATAAACCTGTGCAGTTAAATCATATACGAGAAACAAAACATAAATTTATCAGATAAAGACGGAAAAGGGAAACATGCTGAGGGGAATATCAGATTATGACAGTAATAAATTAAAGAAGCAAGGTAAATATCAAACTTGAACCAATAGAAATGATAACACAGTAACACGTGCACGGCATCACCCTTCGTGCTTTTACTCTCGTCCTCACCATAAAATCAACAGAAACGGCATGGCATCACCCTTCGTGCATTAGCTCTCTCATAATCATGGCACGGCATCACCCTTCGTGCATTAACATTCACAGAAATAGGCATGGCATCACCCTTCGTGCATTAACACTCATTGAATATGGCACGACATCACCCTTCGTGCATTAACACTCTCTCACAATATCATGCACGACATCACCCTTCGTGCTTTACACTCTTCCTCACCCAAACAATAGAAACAATAACATCCCAGCAAGGGAATCATCTATAACCAATCTCGTTTCAACAGTTAACTCTCACAATGTTGTTGATACCCAATTTTTCCCTATAATACTTTTTAAGTGCATATATACCTTCAAAACCATGCATTAGCATCAATTGATATTTTTCCATAATCTCTGTATTTTCAAATTAATTTATCCTAGTATTTTATTTACATAACTGATTACAAATTGCATCACAAATGACTGTATAGCAATTTCATGACTTAATATTGCTATAGTAGGTTCAAATTATTTCACAAATGGCCAGATTTACATATTTTGGTTACAATTGCAATAATTTTACAATTATAGTCTGTGTATACATTATCACATTTTTAATAGAAAATAGCTCGTTGTATTTTTCTAAATATGTATTAATTTCTTTAAAATATTTCTATGCATGAAAATTAGTTTTTATAATATGTTAGTTATTTTATAAAATATTTTTTTTATAAATTTTTTGGGTATTTAAGCTTTTTTTTAATTTCATTATAACCCAACTATATCAGCCCAAACCCCTTAATATACCGACCCAACTCACCCCCTAAGCCCAATCTGCACCTACCCGACCCAACTCCCCATTTGATCGTGGTCGTTGATCTTTTAGATCAACGGTCCACAACCTTTCTTACCAAATTAATCCCAAACGACCCCCTAAACCCTTTCATTCTTACCAAACCGCCGCCCTTGAATCCCTTGTCTCCCTCTTCTCTCATAGACTCGCCCAAACCCTAGCACTGTCACCGACATAAACCTTCACCTTATGACGCTCCTATGGCTTCTACGGCCAGTCCTGGCCTTCTACGTCCCGTGGCTCCTCGACTTCTTAGGTCCTTGAGAGGATCTCAAGGAACTCAAGCAGTTCTGGGTTGAAACCTTACTTGTAAGCCTGTCTCAGGCCATTTTCTCGACCATGAGTAAGAGATTTCTCTTTATTTTGTTACGAATCTATGGTTTCTAAACCTATGCTCTCATCTCTGTTATGTTTTCAGTCTATTACCTTCGATCATTTCCGAGATCTGTATAGATATGAGATGAATCGAGCACTATTACATGTTTTCTCTAAAAATTTCTGGTTTTTTTCGGACTTCTAAGTACTTAATCGACTCTCCTTTTATCTTCTTGACTGATTTTTAGCCGAGTATTCGAACCTTAGTTGATTTTGTAATTTTTCTATCCTTTGCTTCAATTCTGAGTACTTTTTATGTTACCAGTCATATTACTTTGCCTTATTTCTGGGACTTAAGCGTTTTCTTTGTCAAAACCCTTATTCTATGATTTTTCCCTAATTAATCTCTACTAGGGTTCGCATCTGTTTTCGGTTAATTTCTATATTTTTGTGAAGTCTTTACTTAGTTTATTTTCTATTTATGGGAGTTGATATATTCTTTCCAGAAATCATTGTTCTTTAAAATTTGGCCGATCGATTTGCTATGCTAGAGATTTGTATGCCTAAGTCTTGTATGTTTCCCTGTTTACAACCTTAATTAGTCATTCTTGCCTAATTTTATTACCTGTATATTTACTGATTCCTTTACATGATTCTTCCCTTAATTAGACCCTTGATTATTTTATTCTGAACTCCTTTATTTGGTTTGATTTGAACTTCTTTCCTTAATTGGACTCCCTATTATTACCGTTTGGCTAATTGTCTTCAATTAAGGGAGGTTTATTCTAAACACTTATGTGATTGAATTTTGTGACTTCCTTAATTGACTGAAGTTGATTCTTTTACCTTAATTACTCTACTCTCAAACTACTATATAAACTCTCTTATTTTTACCTCTCAAACACGGAACACTAAGTTCAGAACACCAACTCGCACTCAAACTCTCTCTTCTTTCTTTGCTACTTGTGATAATTATTGGTCTAGTTGGCTGAAAGCCAAGGCTAGACATTGGAACCTGTTTTACATTCTGCATTTTCTTCTTTAACTGGTATGTCTCTAAGTTATATTTTGAAACTCAATGTGTTCCATTCCTGCACTAGTTTGATTGGTTATGTATCCAATTTGTTTCCATGTTTACTGCTTTATTCAGCATGTCTAAATTCTGCATTCTCTTGTTCAATATGTGATCATCATGTTTAAACTTCACTTAGTTATGTGATACATGTCCAGCATGTTTACTTAGTTCCCTTACTCCTTTTTGACTGGTTGACCATGTTAGTTACTTAGTCTCCTAATGCATTCAATTGGCCCTAATTGTATGTCCAATTCTGTCCAACCCACCCCTGTCTTCAACATGATTCTGTTACATTCTTTCTCTATGCTGTCTATTACCATGACTGACTTGGACTCTTAGTTGTCTTGTGCATTTGTTGTCCCAAATGTTTCCCTGTTTATGTGGTTTCAACTCAGTATGTTCCCAATCCCTTTCACCCCTGTTTGTAAATCTGTTGGTTAAGTGTCTGTGAATCTGAGTATTCCATGATTAATTGGTTGTTTGCTGAATTGCTTTACTCAGAAATGATTTCAAAAATTGTTCTTCTACTCTTAGTAGTCTTCTCAAAACTGGTGTCACTCCCAGCATCTTCTTAAACTGTTTTCCATTTCTGAATCTTTTCACTTCTAAAATTTTCTCTATGTTGTTTTACTAAATCTTTCAAAACTGTGTCAAGCACTCTCACTTTACTCTTAAGACTATTGGGTTCTGCCCCTCTGGTGTGTGTACTGCTTAGGGATCCTTGCGATGCCTCTGAACTCTGACACAACAGGGCTGGCCCTTCCACACTGCACATAACCAATCCCTATTTGAGAAAGGTCTTGGTGTGAGCACTGCCCGGGATCCTTGAGGTCCTTAGGGAACTCTGACACGCCAAGACACGCTATTGGCTGTGAGATCTTTGGCTTCTGAGACTGTATTGAAGGCCTGGCATCCCTAGGTTTACTTTGGGCCTGATTTAGGCTCCCTATAGTATAGTTTCATTTACTTACGTACTTCATTTAATCCTGGTCTGTAATAATATTCTTTGTAAACAGATATTGGAGTAATTAGTAAAAAGGGGAGGGTTCATATATGATTTTTTGTGGGGGAAACCGGGTAGAATTCATGCTTCTAGGCTTATGTGTGTTGATTCTCAGTAGAAATCATGCTTTAGGTTTACACTATGTTTACATTCTGCAATAGATATCATGCCACTAGGTTTGCTTTGCCTATTTGTATTAGAACCATGCCATAAACCTGTGCATTAGATATCATGCCTTAGGATAATCATGTTTACTGCTTTGCATATTAGGAAACATGTTATAGTCATCATTTTATTTCTGATTCTGCCTAAAGTCATAATCACCTAGGAACTCTATAGTTAAACTACTACTGTAATCACGCTTAATAAAATGACTATCTCTCTCTGTGCATTAGAAATCCTGCTTAAGGACTCTGTTTGCATTTGCTAAGTCATGTCTACGTCGCTTAAACGAATAACTGTCTATAAAAAGGTTAAAAAAAATAGTCCAACACATAGATATCATGTTCTAGCATAAACATGCATGAAATCAGCTTTGTAAAACTGATTGCCTAGATCAGCATGCCTATAGGATTGGATAACTTCGAGTTGTTTCAACTAGTTCTCAGAATTACGATTGCATACAGACCTGGCAAGCCTTAGGTAATTAATGGTCTAAAACTGTGAAAATATGTTCTGTATATGTGTGAAGCTGCCCAGGCTTAACAGGCCTTAAAATCAGTAGGCAAACTGATGAGGATTCTGTCACTTCGCCTTAAAACAAAATGCTGCATATTCTGTGTTTGTAATACTCATCTAGATATCATGTTCTAGGGCCTTTTGAAATTCTGTAAAAATCAGCTGTTTGAGACGTGCTAATTATTTATTTACAAGTGGAGGTAAACATGAGCCACTTAATTGCTTCTCTATTTGATAGTCCTATATGTTCTTTGTTGTCGCTTACATTTTACCTTTTAAATACCTTAGGAGTGTCTAGAACTGCCTAAGTATAGAGGTCCTAAACACCTCCGGGACCACAAGCAAGGGACAGGTAAAGCACGCTTAGAGTTCGTTAACTAAACTCGCTTATATAACCACTACGGGGGTAATGGGTAGTAAAAGGATATGATGACCTGTGCGCTAATGCCACGTGTAACCCCTCTACTTGAGGAAGGCTTATCGGTTATTGTACAGATGTGATCCTATAGGTTAACCAACTTAGGACTTCCCCTCTTAAATTTACGTATGTGTGCCTAGACTGTCTAAACTTCCTTGATTATATATGTGTGCTTAGACTGCATAAACTTCCTTTATTTGCAAATGTGTGCTTAGACTGCTTACCTGTTAAATAACTAATTTCCATAACTAAGTTCGGCCGGGACCCACCGTTGTGGACGGCGAGGGGTGCCTAACACCTTCCCCTCAAGGTTATTTCAAGCCCTTACCCTAATCTCTGGTAATGCAAACTGGTTAC